TTTCTCTGACTTCCGCCGTTAGAATTTTTCGACGTGAAGTTCTATCCTTACGCGGATGACACACATGATCCGGTTTTCGCTGCTGTCAGCAAAAAGCATGTTGTCATCTATCGACTCTCTAGCAAAGCGAATCCCCCTTACGACCTCGTGCAACTTTTCAGAGACGACGATGTAAGTTCCATACCTGCCTACCGGTATACCTAACTAATGATAACGTAGAAAGAAGCCCTAAATTGTAGTTGCACATGGACCAAGGACCCCGAGACCGAGGTTCCTTATCTATGTGTGGCTGGCAGAGATGCTAAAATCAAGATTTATGATGTTGTTCACGGCAAACTAGTAAAGGTCAGGCCTTCCGCTTACATCGGACTTTGGCAATCTCAACTAACATCGTATACAGGTCCTTGTCGGCCATGGAGGAGTGAGTGTTGAGAGTAGACTAGTGGCAATCCCAGACTAACACCCCTCGGAGGAAATCAATGATCTCGCTACCTGCCCAACAAATTTCTTGCTGATCGCATCTGCGTCAGAGGATACTACCGTTCGGATATGGAGCCTTGATCCTGCACACTCCAAGCAGCCATGTGTTTGCCTGCTTGCTGGAGAAGGCCACTCTTCAGGACTGTTGACTGTCGTATGTGCTCATTCGGCCTATCCACTGCCATGGCTTCTTTGGTTTTAACTGCTGTCTTCTAGGCATTCCACAATAGTGGTCGATACGTTCTCTCTGCTGGTCATGACAACGTTATCTGCTTGGTATGAAAATGATTCCGGTTTGGGGTTTCTTTTAGACATATCGTGTTAACCCCTGACAGTGGACACTCCCCGACTTGCCGCCTGAGTCAAATGGCAAGAACCCCCCCAAACCTATCGTAATTCACTACCCTCACTTCTTTACATCAGAGGTACATAGTGGTATAGTGGATTGGTAAGTGTTTTGTGACGAGATACGAACGTAGAGTATTATACTGATAGAGGCCTATAGCGTAGCTTTCTTTGGTGATCTCGTCCTTTCAAGAGCCTGTCACGAGGATATCATAGTGTTATGGCGAATCGAGGGGTTTTCGTCCCATGATCCTCCGCCGGAGATTTCTGAAGCGCCTACTACGAGTGACACAGAACGCCTGACGCGTTCAGCCTTTGCTCCTGCAACGGCATCAGCTTGTCCACCCCAATACACCCGCCTACTGGAGTTCTGGACACCACACTGCGGTCACCAGTTTTACCTCCGCTTCAAGCTTTTCCACGATAAGGATAAGCATCCAGTCTTGGCCTTTGGCAATGCGAAGGCTATGATCTTTTTCTGGGACCTCGCCCGCCTAGGAAGTTATCACGACTTCATCCGCGAAGTTCGAGATCCAGCCCGCGACAAGTCTCAACCAATCCATCGCCCGGGTTGGCTGGTGCCGATTAACCATAGGCACAAGGGCGACGCTGTTAGCAAACTCAAGGACGCTGCTAGTGACAGAGAGTCGGTCGCGTCAGGGCGCACCGGTAGTGTCGATGTCGAAACACACCTAGACCTAAACACTAATTATTCGCAAGAAACATTGGAAACTTGGGAGTTGAAATACGACATGACTCGTGTAGAGGAGCCCGTCAGAGCACATGCACAGAGCAACATCACTGTCAAGGACTTTGTTGGGCGCCAAGTTGCTTGGAGTGCAGGTGGTGAATGGTGTGTCGTTGTAGGCAGCAAGAACCTTGCAATTATATTGCAGCGATGGAATAAGAAGCCACTCTCAGCTGATGAGAAAGAGAAGAGGCCAAGTCAGGACCGTCAAAACTGAGACTTCTTATGAATATAATTGCGAGGCTCTTGCTCTCTACAACGATACCATTCAAGTCTATACAGGCCCCTTACTCAGATACCTATCTAGTCGTCTAGATATATATATATATATATATATATTTCCCTGCCTATCCGAGGTCACCAGCGATTGACGCATTTGCGTCATAGTACCAAAAATTATATGTTCAATTTACTATGGCGCCCGGTCAAGGTATGAGTCGACTTTCAATCAAATATCAAGATTGGCCTGGTAAGACATCGAAATGAAAGAGCGTGGTTATTATTAACGCATATGCATCTCAACCTAAAGGAATGGCAAAGCAATTAAGGCCCTCATAACTATAATTCTCCCGGTGAGAAAAATCCAAGCACGCGAATGAACTCCAACCATATATGGTTAGACCAATTCTTTCCAGCCAGCCGCCTTTGTAACTGCTGGGTTGCTCATATTTCCACCGCTTACGAAATGCAGTAGGGCAGGCCGTCGATATACTCGCACCAAGCTTCAGGAGCACAGTCTCCAGCATCCTGCAAGGAATTATTAGCACCTACGGGAAGAACGATATGTATAATGATACTTACCAGATAGAAGCCATCGACATTACATACAAGCCAGCCAGTGAAGTCGGGCTTGCAGGCATAAGCTGGAGGCTCGCACTCGAAACCCACTTCCTCTCGGGGGGCTACTGGCTTGGCCAGGGCTGCCGTGATAAAAGCTAGGACCGCGAAGAACTGCATTTTTATGGCGAATTGAATGGAATAAGTAGATAATATAGATATGAGATATTTAGTTGATATTATGATGGAGATGGAGATGGAGATGGTAGTGATGATGCTGGAAAACAAAAGGGGATGTCTTCTCGCCTACCCCTTCTTTAAATATCCCAGGACTCATGCGAACGGGCTCACGACAGTACGATCTGAGAGGCAGCAGCCGAGAGGCCATTGCAGTTTGATCTGGTAGAGTTCGCCGTAGTGTATAACGTCGTAATCTGTCGACTGAGACCTAGTGCCCTTAGCACAGAGAAATGAAACATCGTAGGAGAACTTGTTGATGATTCGTAGCAATGGCAAGTACGTGAGCTCTTAACCTACATAGCCGATTACTAGTACATACCATGATCCTAGGGAATCCGACTTCGGGTTCAGACTACACGAACAAACCAGACGTAGCTCGGATGTCTCATCTCATAGCTAGCACCTTGAGCTCGAACGATTAGACAACGGCTAAACAAGACGAAGACTACGAATCATTCTTGACCAAGTCTAAATGAGAATTTAATGGTATATCAAGTGGTGAGGCTTAGATGTAGATGCGACTTCAGCAACCCGAACTATAATCCGTTTGGAGTGGATTCTCCTGCTTGACAATAAGCAGAGTTTCCATGTGACAGGCCTCGTATGACCTTCCTCCGACGGTTAGTTATACCAGTTTCGCAAGGCTACGGAGTAAGGATAACACTGATTCACTTCTTACGTAATGCTCGGGAGAAGAAGCCGGAAACATCTTGGCCGCGTGTAGGCAAAGACATGGCGTTAGCTCCAGCTGCACAGGCACGGGCTGTCCACGTTGAGCACATAGCCTTTTGACACTTGACGTGCGATCAGATAATCGCGGAAGTCCGTCGGGCGCACGTTTGTTTCAACGTCTAGCGTGGATTAACTACCTACCTAACGTTGACGTTCGACTACATAAGTGATGGCATCTCTGTCATCATCTTATTCCTAATAAGCTTCGAGAAAGGGCTTGTAAAATTTATAGCAGCCATTTGTATAGTTCTTCCTAAAGCGGAAATCACTATTGGTCTCTATTCCCCATCGCTTCGCCTGGATCATGTGTGTTTGTTAGTTGACAGACTTGCGGAGCTCCGAGTTCGAGGGTCGAGCGATTCTAACCGTAAGAATTATCTTAAACAGAACTTCGGACATTATGGCATCCTATATACTACGGAGCTGCGTTGAAAGCTAGATAGCTATTATAATCACTGCCGTGTTACATCATACATGGGAGTACGTGTGAACCTCCGAGATGCTTCGAAGACAGCGTAACTTCACGGTGGTACATCGCAATGGACACGCATGATACTACACCATGTCATTAATTCTCGAAAGTGGCCTTAGTTTCATTAAAGATACTTCAATGGTTACGCAATTACACATTCAGGTGATTCTATTTCTCAACTTTACCTGCTACCATACCTGTACAACCCCAGGTTGTAGGCGCACCGTCATATGGCTACTCACAAATGATATTCTTGATAGATTTAGTCAACGAATCTCATCTCTCTCACTCTTCCGAGGAAGAGAAGAGAAGGAGGTCGTTGTGACGCATTGGAATGCCATTCAGCCATATAGGTACCTTACCCAGGTAGTTTATGTCATTTACTTGTACCCTAACAGAGGAACTTGCCCCCCCCCCTTCTTTCCTGTATTATTAGTTTATTTTTAACAATGCTGCAGATATCTTTGCCTCACGAGTGAATTGCTTTATCAAAGGTAGCCGTAGGAAATTGAGGGTTCCCAGTTACTTATCCGTCCCTATCTATTACACATAACTTCCGAGACCAAAGGAAGAAGTAAACCTACCTACCTACCTAGGTAGTATATCAAGCACCTGAACAAGCTCAAACTGACCAAATTAAATCTCATATACGTAGTTCGTTACTGGAAGCCTTTTTCTTTCCTCGAAAGTCATCATTAATAGTACACATGCCAGATCGATATGCCTTCTTCCATATATTTGATTGAAACCGTAGCATCTAGTATTAACAATCTTCATGATTACCTAACCTACCTATATAAGTAGGTAGGTACTCACCTAACCTAGATTAGTTACCTATCAGACTTGTGGAAAAGGCTGCAACTCGTGGGTGTCCTATCATCTTTACCCTCTGGCCTTAGAACCCTAAAGCTGTAGCAGCCACGATCTCTTTTTGGTGACTCGGCTTGCAACTAATTTAACCGTACGGAGTATTCCCTCTAATTCATCGCCTCCACTGTCATACATACATGTAATGAGGGCTTGGTCAGGGAGGCCGGTGCGGGGAAAGGTGGCCTGTGCTTATGAATACAGTGCGAACCACGATACTAAGGCTTTTACTGTCTACACCACAAAGGTTTTATAATGACTTGGAAAATCCCGCTTGCTAACACACCAACCATTGGTCCCCTCTGGGGGTCATGGTCTGTAGCCTCCGCGAGGAGGATAGGGCTCGTGGTTTAGTGGTATAATACTCCCTTAGCATCGTGTGACCATCGATGTATGTCGCTCCGCTGGCATACACGACTGGTCTCTCAAGCTTGGGAGTGGTCCGGGGTTCGATTCCCCGCGAGTCCAACACTAGGGGTTAAATTCCTCTTGTACCATATTTTCCATTTTTTCTTCTTTTTTTTAAAATTTCACTTAAGTGAAAATTTCCTCCGTCTTGACTTTCCTATCATCCCGCTGCGTAGACACTTACTACATTGGCACAAAACGAGCCCCGATCTTTTTTAGACAATGACTTTCTACGTTGCCGATTTTATTTTGGAATGAAGTAAGGGCCAACATACCTAACGAGGCTGGTGACCTTAGCAAATAGTCAAAATGACGTACCAATTGCCGATGGTACACTTAAAGCTATCCTCGCTGGCTATTATGATACCTATGTGACGAGATAAGTTGGATTTGGTTGTTTCATTCACACGAGTTCTGCGTGTCGTCTATCGTGGTGCTACTCGGGTGATGGCAGATATGATTAACAGTCATCTTATACTCATAAACGCTGAGGGACCTTTGCACTTTCTAACTACTTCAACAGTCGGGTATCTGATCGCTAGTTCATTGAACATCAAATGAATGTCTCGTATTGTTATTACACATTCGCAATCTCTTCATGGCAGCACGAAGACTGGTAGTATGTAGCTCACGCAACTTTTGCTATGCCAGCGCATTTGGGTGACTCTCTAGCCACAACTCGGCAAATTAGCTGACTCATGACTTGTTGATTAACAGTGACTCAAATATATGAAAGTGCTCGCCTATTGACTTTGGTCAATATAATCTACGCCCGAGTCGATAATAGGGGCAAAAGGAGGCTGAGGACGGAGCAGATGTAGCTGGATCAGCCCAATGAGACTTCATTAGACATTGATGTTAGCGATGTCCTATGAAAGTGCTGCAATTTGAGCAAGTCTAGTTGATGGCGCTTCGTGATAAAGTACTGTATTGAAACGTTTTGCGATGGTTGGTAAAAATAGGATTGTGAATAAGGATTATAAGCGATATTCCCAATGCAATCGCGCGGCAAAAGATGCGCTGGGCGTCTACATAATAACAGATATGAAAGCTCGCGGTTTCTTGTTTCATGTCCAGCCCCGCCGAAACTGTGGTGAATTCGTGGCCAATCAAGAAGGTATTGGGTACAAGTATGTAGCAGCTAGAGAGTCGACAAGGGATCCCTGCAAATCTAGATGCCCCTGAAAATCCTCTCGGTCATCGCGGGGTTTTCTCAACTACAACAACCAGAACAACGTCCTTCCCAAAATCAATGCGTCTAACCTACATGTAGCTCCATAGGCTGATAGGCTGTGTGTTGTAGATCGTCAACGTTACCTGACCTGGCAGCCTGGCTGATGGATGTGGAGCATCATTGCCTTGGTACCAAGCGGAGTGTACCGATCGTTGATCGCCCTATGCTTCCTGAGCGACCTGTGGTGCTTGTGGCTGTTGATGATTACTGCAGATGCTAATATGTTTGATACAGCCCGTAGTAACCCGACCATTCCTTGTGTACTTATGGTCGTGACTCCTTCAAGGCCTGAATAAAACCTTCTTTGTCCCTCGCTGACACTCTGACAGATGAGTTTATTCAACTCACAACAGGTCACCCTTTCTTTAATGTCGTGTCAGTTCTTGTTCAACTAGTGTTCATAGTACTTTCCAATTCACTTGCTACTTACCTCTCATTCCTTTCTTGGCTCATTGTAGATATAAACAATCGTTACACGTGCCTATTGTTCGACTTGCTGCCATATTCACTACGTTGAACCTAGAAGACGACATCGTCTCCTTCCTCTCTCTCCTACGAACTTCACTCGCTTCTTTTCTTATATTTTATTTTATTTCGTCTCCTTTACTATATCACATTGTGTTCTTAATTCACTAGAAGTGGAAGCACAAGAAACCCAGCGTACAAGGATAAAATTGTCAATTTCGAATATTTTATTGTTGAGGTCGCTGCGCGAATACGATTCTTGTCACGAACCAACACTATTATGTATATGAAATCTGTTCATGCTGCTGCGTTGGCAGCAGCATTTACGCCACCGAAAAACATCAACATCAATGACCCAGGTAGACAACCCTAGCCTGAGTAACTTTTTGGTAGCATGCACTAACTCATGCGCAGCATCTATACGTAGTGTTGCGAGTACGCTTGCGTACGGAACAATGTCTTGGTATTCTGGAAATGTGACAAATACTCCAGAGGTAGGAAATCGTACCTATTGATTTGGTGTTGTCTAGGTTGAAGCTAACGCATCGTCTTCTAGACTCTTGCTGTATTCCCTCCACCACATTGTATGACTTGGCTCGTATCCCTCACTACGTGGTCTATCGCTAACTTTTGAAAAGATTGGTGGCAAGCGGGCGCCGCCTGGGGGGCCATGTTAGATTATTCGCATTACACAGGTGATTCTAGCTACGACGAAGTCATCACGCAGGCGTTAGTTTCCCAAGTCGGACCAAAATTCGATTTCATGATGCCATTACACTATGGGTCCGAAGGGAACGATGACCAAGCCTTTTGGTCCTTTTCCATCCTTGACGCTGCTGAGCGGAACTTTCCCCAGCCCGACGATAGCATTCCTCCTTGGCTTGACATAGCCGAAAACATCTGGAACTCGATGGTAGTGAGATGGAACGAATCATCTTGTGGAGGAGGACTTGCTTGGCAGATCTTCGAGTCAAACCCCAATGGTATGCATTATAAAAATAGCGTTTCCAACGGCGGCTTCTTCCAAATGTCGGCACGCCTCGCCCGAGCAACTGGAAATGCCACTTATCTTGACTGGGCGCAAAAGGTGTGGGATTGGTCCGAGAAGATCGGGTTCGTCGATGAGAATTTCAACGTTTACGACGGGGTTGATAGCAATGACGGCTGTTCCACCGTTAACAAACTGTCGTTTTCCTACGCCCAGGGCATTTACCTCTACGGCGCTGTGATCCTCTACAACCACACAAACGGCGACAAGACATGGGGAGATCGAACTTCTGGCCTTCTCAAGGGAGTTGACTCTTATTTCAGCCCCTACCCGAACGCGACGAACATCATGTTCGAACATGCCTGCGAACCATACGAAGTGTGCAACGTCGACATGAAAAGCTTTAAGGGGTACCTCGCCCGCTTCATGTGGGCGACGACGCGGATGATGCCCTCGACGCTCCCGCGAGTTCAGACGTTGTTGAATGCCTCTGCCATCGCCGCTGCTCAGGCCTGTTCCGGAGGTCAAAATGGCACTGTTTGTGGCCAAAAATGGTATGTTGGGGGCTTCGACGGTGTAAGCGGGCTCGGCCAGCAGATGACAGCACTAGAGACTGTCCAGGGTCTTCTTGCTCAAGAGGCGCTTCCCCCTTTTAAGGTGGGCGAGATCAAGCACGTTAAAGGTGTAGACAACCCGCCAGCTACAACGAACTCGGCTACTGCGTCTCCAACCCCTACAGCTACAAAGCGATCCAACTCTGCCGGAGTCATATTTGTTGAATGGCGCTGGGCCATGCTGGCTCTAGGCTCAGTGTTGATCCTGGGCTTCGCATAAAGGATGATTTTGGACATTAAAATGGGCATAAGCACAGGAGTTGGAGTTTGGTTTCCCTTCCTTACGATGGCTTCATTAAGGAGCTGTTGACATTACTTTAGAAACAGAAAGACTTGAAGGGCAACCTTAACTGCAACGCATTTTGCATTAGCACAGGTAGACGTGCTTAGGTACATACTTGTCAAATTTAAACGAACAACGACTTCTTTTATGAACTTAGTTTCCTTTCTTTCTCCAGTCCAAATCTCATCCATGTTGCCATGCTAGTGTGATCTACCTATGCATCTAAACGGTATCGTAACCCCACCTAATGAGTCAATTGAAGTTTTTCCTGATACTTCTCCGATCGGACATGCAACTGCATATGACGATGTTTGCTAGATAAACAAACCCCTTGTGATTTGATTTATGACTCGCGGGATTTGAATCGTCTATAAAGCGGACAGTTTATACGAGTATCTATAGAGACCATATAGAGGTAATCAAATCAAGTTTTAGGAGGATAGGTAGCGCGTTGCTGGTTATCATCTAGGTGGAACATGTCGCCTTTTAATCTCAAGACGTGTGCGAGGTCCAATATCCTAGCTCTTGAGCCATACCGCTGCGCACGAGAGTAAGACCCGACCTCATTTAATTGCAACCGAATACTCATACACCTCCGCAGTGACTACAAGGACGACGGCACAAACATCCTGCTTGACGCCAACGAAAATGCTTTCGGACCGCCGTTAACGGCGACTACCGTGTCCGCTGTGTCGACGGGGCCCGGGGCTGAGATCGACTTTTTGGGTTTGCACAGATACCCAGACCCGCACCAGCAGGATCTGAAGCAGCTGCTCTGCAATTTACGCAACACCCACCAGCACACAGTCAAGACCATCACACCGGACAACCTGTTTGTCGGCGTCGGCAGCGACGAGGCCATCGATGCGCTGCTGAGATGCTTCTGCATACCTGGCAAGGACCGCATTTTGGTGTGCCCCCCGACTTACGGCATGTACTCGGTGTCGGCACAGGTGAATGACTTGGGTCTGGTCAAAGTGCCTCTGCTCCCGGCGCCAGAGTTCGGGCTAGATGTCGCGAAAATCACGGACGCACTGTCGACCGAGGATAATGTCAAGATGGTCTACCTATGTTCTCCTGGAAACCCGACCGGCTCCCTGCTGGCTAAAGAAGACGTCCGACAGATCCTGGAGCACCCGACGTGGAACGGCGTGGTGGTCCTCGACGAGGCGTACATTGACTTCGCACCGGAGGGCACATCGTTGGCGGAATGGGTGGCTGACTGGCCGAACCTGGTCGTCATGCAGACGCTCTCAAAAGCATTCGGCATGGCGGGTATTCGGCTAGGCGCGGCTTTTACGTCGCCGCCAATTGCGCGCTTGCTCAACAGCCTCAAGGCGCCGTATAACATATCTAGCCCAACCAGTGCGCTAGCATCGTACGTCTTGTCAAAAGAGGGCATGTCAGCGATGCAAGCGAACAAGGAAAGACTCGTACGGCAGAGGGACAGACTGCTCAAAGAACTGCCCAAGATCA